GGGAGACACCAATGAGATAGATTGGCACGGTGACCACAGCAGTGGACTCCAATGTAGCAGGACTGACTTGTAAGTATGGCACAGGACCAGGTGGAGTTTCGTTTTGTACATAGGGTCACTAAATGGGTTGCAAACGAATCTGTAGCACCTATCAACAACAACATACTAAGACAGATCAGAACTATATCCTCCAAGTTAGCATATTATGTGCTTACACAATGTGGTTCACAAATTGTGGAGTTGCTTTGTTTTGTTTTATTTTCATTTCTGACTAGGTTGTTGGAAATTAAAACCTGGTATAGTACATCCTCTTCCTATAGGGAAGAACATAATTTGATCTGTGCCATTTGAAAAGTACGTGGCATATAGTAGGTTCAGAAATGCTGTGGAATGATTGTTACCAAGCAGACTTTTACATCAAGCTGTTTAGACAGAACTGCATACATAAATGACTAAACTTGGCTCTCTGGAACTTGTGTTGTAAGTGCTGATAATGTGTTTGGTTTCTTAGATCTGTTCCTTCTTTTTTTAAATTAATGCACAACAATGTGTTCATTGTTGAAGGTTTAGAAAGTAAAATTAAGTATAAAGAAAAAAATCACTCAGTCTTTACACCCCAAAATAGCACTTTCATGCTTTTACTTTCTTTGAGATTTTGTTTTATGCATTGCACTGTGGGTTAATGCGCTGGACTGCAAGGTCGGTTTGAATTGCAAGGTTGGTGGTGATTCAAGCTCACCAGTTGCTCCTTGGAAACTCCATACAGGGTTGCTATGGGTTAGAACCGACTTGACGGCACTAAACAACAAAAACACACTTTATTTTGTTCCAAAAATATGGGTTCAGTTTTTAGAACCATGTATGCATGTAATCATTGTTTTCCCTTTTAAGCATTAAGTTCCCACATCCTATTTTTTCTGAAAAGAGGCATCTTTACTTGCTATCTCCCGTTTTTCTCTTCTTGTCATTTCTTTTTTGTTTTGTTTTTCCTCACTGTCTTTTTTTTAAACTATGGTAAATATGTAGGTAATAATGCATTTGCGGTTTCAAGTATCTTCACACTTACAATTTAGTGACATTAATTATGTTCATCATCCTCATCAACCATCAGACTTATCTGTTCCCAAGCTTCTCTACCACCCTTGACAGAAGCTCAGCGTTGGGGAACTTTGAAAAGTCCCATTGTTCCTGTGCTGACCCTCTTGGTGTGGCATCCCAGAGTTCCGATTGTTGAAGCTCGTGTAATGGTTTCTTCTTGTTACCTCTTTACCCACTCTGATCACACTCTGGTCCTGACCCCTCAGCTCTTGTCAAAGTCCCTGTTACCAGCATCAGTTCTCAGTTCACATTGTACTTGATCGCTAAGGCATTCTTAATCTCCTTTCCTGATTCCCCTCCATTTCTACGCCACCAGACCTTGCAATGAGGAGCTCTGGTGGCACAGTGGTTACGTGCTCAGCTGCTAACCAAAAGATTGATGATTTGAATCCACTCAGTGCTCTGAGGGAGAAACATGTGGCAGTCTACTGCCATGAAAATGACAATATTAGGAACTCTATTGGGCAGGTCTACTCTGTCCTATAAGGCATCCATGAGTCAGAGTCAACTGGATGACAGTGGGCTTGGTTTGGGGTTCTCTGGGCTGCTCAGAAACCTTGTGCAGAAGTGCTGTGAGTTGGAACCAACTCCATGGCACTCAACAACAACAATGACAAGGACTCATAACTTGGGCTTTTGTCTGTCTTTATTTTCTATGATGTAAATACTATCTGTGTATACACTGATGATTCCTCAATGTTATCTTTAGGTAAGCTTTTTTCTTCTCTTAGATATTTAATAGATATTTCAAACTTGCTGTGTCTAAAACCAATATCCATTATCCACAATAAACAATGAACTAATCCTTCCCTACACAGTAAGTGCTACCACTTGTCTATCAGCTTGTCATATTGTGTGTGGCTGTGATGCTGGAAGCTATTCCACCTGTATTTGAAATACCAGCAGGGTCATGGTGGACAGGTTTCAGTTGAGTTTCCAGACTAACAGACTAGGAAGAAGGAGAGATGGACTACTGATGAATATTTAGTCACTCAAAACCTTATGAATAGCAGTGGAATACTGTCACCAGAATATTGTTAGATACAGAGCTGGATAATGAGCCCCTTAGGTTGGAAGGCACTCAAAATAAACTGAGGAAGAGCTGCCTCCTCAGAGTAGAGTTGACCATGATGACGACAATAGAATAAAGCCATTCGGACCCTCATTTGCAGATAGGCAGAACTCAAAATGAGGAGAAGCAACTGTAAACATCCATTAATAATCGGAACATGGATTGTATGAAGGATGAATCTAGGAAAACTGGAAATTATCAAAAATGAAATGGAATGCATAAACATCAATAGCCTAGGTATTATGGTAGTTATTAAGTGCTGTCGAGTTGGTTCCGACCCACAGTGACCCTGTATAGGGTTTCCACGGATCAGCTGGTGAGCTTGAACCACTGACCTTGTAATTCAAACCTACTTTAGAGTCCAGTGCATTAACCCACAGTACCATACCAGGACTCCATCCTAGGTATTAATCAACTGAAATAGACTGGTATTTGCCATTTTGAATCTGACAATCGCCAAGTTTACTATGCCGGATATGACAAATTGAAGAGGAATGGCGTCACATCCTTCCATCAAAAAGAACATTTCAAGATTTGTCTTGAAGTAACACTATTATTCAAATTTACGCACCAACCACTAAAGCCAGTGATGATGAAATTGAAGAATCCTACCAACTTTTTTTTTTTTTTTTAAGAATACCCCAACAAGATGGATGGGCCAAGTAGCAGCATCGATGGACTCAAGCATGGCAACAGTAGTGAGGTTGGCCCCAAACCAGGCAGTGTTTTGTTCTGCTGTTCATAAGGTCTCTATGAGTCGGTACCTACTCGGTGGCACCTAACAAGAACAACAACCAACTTCTTCAGTCTGAAATTGATAAAAGATGCAATTAATCAAGATGTATTGATAATTGCTGGTGATTGGAAACAAGAGAGTCAGTAGTTGGAGAATTTGGCCAGGGTTATAACGAGATGATGCTGAAAATTGTATTATAGAATTTTGCAAAACCAATGACTTTTTCATTGCAAATAACTTTTTTAAACAACATAAAAGACTACTACACACCTGGACCTTACCAGATGGAATACACAGAAATAAAATTGACTACATCTGTGAAAAGAGATGGCGGAAACACACCATATCATCAGTCAAAAGAAGGCCAGGGGCAGATGGTGGAACAGACAACCAATTGCTCTTATGCAAGTTCAGGCTAAGGCTGAAGAAAATTAAAACAAGTCCACAAAAGTATAACCTTGAACATATCTCACCTGAATGTACAAATCATCTTAAGAACAGATTTGATGTATTAGACACTAAAAACCGAAGACCAGATGAGTTGTGGGATAACATCAAGAACATCATACAGGCAGAAAGCAAAAAGTTATTAAGAAGATAAAAAAAAAGACCAAAATGGATGTTAGAAGAGACTCTGAAACTTGCTCTCCAGCATAGAGATGCCAAAGCAAATGGAAGAAATGAAGAGGTAAAGAATAGAAAATGTCAAAGGTCAGCTCAAGAATAGAAAGTCAAATATCAAAATGAAATGTGTAAAGACCTGGAGTTAAAAAATCAAAAAAGAATACATTCAGCATTTCTCAAGCTGAGAGAACTGAAGAAAAAACTCAAGCCTCAAATTGAAATTTGGAAGGTTTCTATGGGCAAAACTGTAGAGAAGCAGCTATAAAAATCCATTAATAATCTGAACATGGAATGTACGAAGTATGAATCTAGGAAAATTGGAAATTGTAAAAAATGATATGGAACATATAAACATTGATATCATAGGCATTAGTGAGCTGAAATTGACTGGTATTGGCAGTTTTGAATCTGACAACCATATAGTTTACTATGCCGGGAATGACAAATAAAAGAGGAATGATGTCACAATCATCACCAAAAAGAATTTATCAAGATTAGTCATGCGGTACAGTGCTGTCTGTGATAGGATAGTATCCAAATGCCTACAAGGAAGATCAGAGTCCTGGTGTAGCACTGTGGGTTAATGCACTAGACAGCAACGTGTGTTTGAACCACAAGGTTGGAAATTCAAGCTCACCAGTTGCTCCTCAGAAACCCTATACAGAGTCACTATGGGTTGGAACCAACTCCATGGCACTTAACAACAACAATAACAAGGAAGACTAGTTAATACCACTATTATTCAAATTTATGCACCAACCACTAAAGCCAGTGATGACAAAATTGAAGAATTCTTGTGCTGTTGTTACGTCTTCCTCACTGAGCTCACTTCTTTCTCTCTGGCCTCCACATAGTACACAGATTAATCTTTCAAAACAAAATCAGGACTCTAGTTCTCCTCTCACTAGATTCCTTCCAGGGTTCACAAAGCCCTGTAGTCTAGCCCTCGTTACTCCTCGAATGCCTGTCTCTTCCTTGTTGATGCTTCTCCAGCCACATTGACTGTCCGGTCACGTTTTCTCCTCTCTGCCCTGCTTCTCTGGTCTGACTTCCTCTCCCCACTTTGTGGATCCCTTTCCTCTCCCTGTCGGCTGGTTTGGTAGGGACACAGAAGTTAGCCATGACAACATTCAGCAACTCAGTCAAGCTTAATGCAGTGAGAAAATTACTGCAGAACTTAGAAAATGTTCAGGCATTTTGCTTCTAGAAATTTCTTTTGTTCCTTCAGTTACATCTCAGTGTAGAAAAATTAATGTATTTTGAAATGAAAAAAAAATTTTTTTTAATGCTTTTAAAGTATTCATCTCAGTCATATTTTTCTGAAAAGAACAATTGTTTTGGGCTTTTTTCTTCCCACAATTTCAAGTTGACTTCTGGTAAAATGCATTACTCTTACATAGGTATGGGATGGGATTGAGGTCCGGGCACCTCATGCATGGAACTAATTATTTCTTGCTCTTTCTTGTACAGAGCCTTTCATCCTACTATAAAGGAGGATTTGAGCAGAAAATGAGTAGGCGAGAAGCTAGTCTTATTTTAGGTATAAGGTAGGTGTGCTACTTAAGTATTATTTTTATTCTGTGGCCAAGCTTGTCTAGAAGGAGGGAATGTAACAGTATGTTTATCCTTATATTTAAAATGAATAATAGTAGAAAGGAAAAAGAAAATATAAAATATTTACAGTTTAAAACCTCAAATCTAAGAGAGCATTCCACTTCCCTGAAACAAAACAAAACAAAAAACTAGGCAAACTTGTGATGTGTTTCATTCTTTGACAAGGAGCTGTTATATTTGAATGCTAAAGTTTCAAATGAGTTCAGCTATCCCTTACTATGGTACTTGGTTCTTTCTGGACTTGTGTTAGTGATGTGATAGTTATCTTACTTTAGTTACAGTATCAGAACTGTTTCACACTTGATTTCCTGATCCCACAGCTTGCTGTCTAGCACATTTTACTGCACCTTAGTCTCTGTTTTTTATCTAACTTTGGACAGGATGAGAGAAGGTTACTGCATCACATCTTGTGATTGCTATGTGTCTTTATTTAATGTTGAACACTGAGACTCTTTCCCCTGCCAACAGCTCTGTGTTTATCTATTTCCTTACGTTCCCTTAAGTCCCACACTTCCATTTTATGGGGGTTGGTTACAGTGTGCTATTGATATCCAGTAATTTAATCACCACAATTATGCAGGATAGACCAGAAAGTCCTATACTGACATAGCATTTGTTTTAAAGTCTCTTGTAAGCCAGGAGATGTTTCTAATGACCTAGGAAGAAAGAACAAAATTGTGATGGGGAGGTAGCTCAATTTAGTTTGGTGCTTTATCTTTATAAGGAGAGATGAGCTCTCTTTTTTCCTCCAAGAATAGAAAACAGGAAACAGTTTTAAGCAGAGGGACCAGATTAGGGAGTTAGATCTATTACTAACTGTTCCTTACTATTCATCAGAATGAATTGTTTTCCTTGAACTTTTATTGAACTCCATCTAGTAACATCCCATTTATATTCTATAAAGTGAATATGAAACACATTCTAAAACTAAACACAAGTGTTTGTGAATGTCATTTACTATCATCTAAGCCACTCCCGTTATTAGGAGAACTAATTATGAGTTGGCTGGGTTTTTGAGTTCTCGTTAAATACATAATTATAAAGTTTGATCTTGTCGAACGGGAGGCTGTACAAGATTCACGAGGACAGTCGGGGAGTTCTGGCTAAGACACACTCTCATACCAAATGGATCTGTTTTACATCTATTCTGTATCCTGAGCGTCATAATTTATAAAATACAAATTGTATGTGTTTCAGCTATGTAAGGTTCTTGGAAAGATTAAATTATATAATTCATATGACATTCTTAAACCAAAGCATGATACATGCTAGTCAATAAATGTCAGCTAAGCATAACCGATTCTTACCCTGATCCTGTCCTGTAGGTATTGTATGATATTGGTAAAATTATTTTTAGCCTTCCTGCACTAGAATTTCTTGGGCTTTTAAATTGGGACTAATACTGTCTGCCATGTTGCAATAATACAGAAATGACATGAAACACTTACTGATGAAGATCAAAGAGCACAGCCATTTGTATGGATTACATCTCAATGTAAGAAAACAAAAATGCTCACCACTGGACCAATAAACAACATTCTTATCAATGGAAAAAAGATTGAAGTTGTCAAGGACTTCATTCTTCTTGGATCAACTGTCAATGCTCACGGAAGCAGCAGTCAAGAAATCAAACGACGTATTGCATTAGGCAAATCTGCTGCACAGGATCTTTTTAAAGTGTTGAAGAGCAAAGATGTCAGCTTGAGGACTAAGGTGCTCCTGACCTAAGCCATGGGATTTTCAATAACCTCATATGGATGCGAAAGCTGGACAGAGAATAAGGAAGACCGAAGAAGAATTGATGCTTCTGAGATATGGTGTTGTAGGAGAATATTGAAAGTACCATGGGCTGCCAAAAGAATCAATAGATCCATTTTGGAAGAAGTGCAGCCAGATTGATCCTTAGAGGCCAAGATGGCCAAACTTGGTCTCTCATACTTTGGACATATTGTCAGGAGGGAGCAGTCGCTGGAGAAGGATATCATGTTTGGTAAGGTGGAGGGTCAGAGAAAAAGAGGAACACCCCTGAACAAGTTGGATTGGCAAAGTGGCAGCATCGATGGACTCAAGCGTGGTAACAGTAGTGAGGTTGGCCCAGGATCAGGCAGTGTTTCGTTCTGCTGTGCATAAGGTCGCTATGAGTTGGTACCGACTCGATGGCACCTAACAAAAGCAAGTAACAGGAGTCCTGGTATGGTACTATAGGGTCAACACTGGACTGCTAACCTCAAGGTGGGCAATTCATACCCACCCACCACTCCTCAGAAACCGTATACAGTCACTGAGCCAGAACCAACTCTGTGGCACTTAACAACAACATCAGATAACAGGAGTCCTGGTATGGTGCTATAGGCTAAACACTGGACTGTTAACTGTAAGTTGGGCTGTTCAAGCCCACAGCTGCACCTCAGAAACCCTGTAGAGGGTCATTGTAAGTCAGAATTTGGTGTGGTGCTGTGGGCTAATGCACTAGACTGCAGAGTTGCTTTGAACTACAAGGTCAGCAGTTCAGGCTCACCAGCTGCTCCTTGGAATCTCCATACAGAGTAGCTGTGGGTTGGAAACAACTCGAAGGCACTTAACAACAACAATAACTAAGTTAACAATAACCAAATTAAACAGTTGGTTCCTCTCTCTTCCCATCTCATGAAAGCATACGAACTATTTGTCCCTCAAGCTTTAAACAGAAAAATAAAGCTTACTTGCTTTTCCTTTAGTGCTATCTTCAATAAGCTTTTTAAGATGTGAATACTACTGTGCTGTGGTTCTGCTTTCTGTAATCATTCAATCTAAACTATGTAGACCATAACAAATAAATAAGGCAAAATGGACTCTTGTTGGTACACTGGTAGAGAAAAATGCTCTGTATGCCTCTTGATGATTTTATACATTCCTTTTTCATTTTTAAAAGTTTTTATTGTGAGGTTTTCAGGGGAGAACATCAGCTTTACACTCATCCTATCGTATTTCATTTCATTGCAATGATTACAATCCCCTCCATGTATTATTATGTAACCCCAGAGGGTACACCACACAGGCCCGCCCCCCTACCTCCCGGCCACCAGCACACAGCCCCTCTCCTGCCCTGAATCCAGTATTCCCAGCCACTCCATCTGTCCACATCAGCTTCTCTTTCTCCATTCCTGGCATCACTGCCTCTCTGGGGAGGGTCCCGCTCTCTGCTTTTCTAACTTGATAGTCCTGGGCGGCAAAATCAATCACTCTCCTCCTTTTGTCAAAAAAAATCTACCTCTATATTTCCTAACCTCACAGTCAGACCTAATGGCGATTATTCCCCATTGTACCACAGAGTCTTATCCCCATTTCCTTTTGCCAGCCTGGTCCCAACGGATTGGAAATCATTCAGTGGTGACTCTACCTTTCCCAACCCCGTCTCAAACTAGGTTCCCTCTTGAAAGCTTGTAAGCCAGTCACTTCTTGCCTTTATAGGCCTCCCCATTTTGGGTAGCCAATATCTATGTTGCCCATCCCTGTCAGCCCTGTGTACTGAGGGGGTGGGAATGATCCTTGCTGTTAAGATGTGTTCCATTTTTTTAGCTACTAAGTCCATACGTATAGGTAAAGTTCATCAAATTGTAGTAGGTTAGTGTTTTTTTCTTTTTCCCCTCTTCTTTCTTTTTCTAGTCAAGTTCTGATCATCCAGCCAATGAAGCCAGGTCAAGTGGGTACTGTGTGCAAGTATGGGTGTTCTTGTGCATCTCCCCTCACTTCATATCAGCTGACACTCACTCTCTGCTCTAGTCCTCTGTGGCCATATCACTGCCCTTGGGCCCAGGATTCCCCGGGTCTTGCCATACTGCTGGCCATCCAGGTCTCCACCCAGGTTCATGGGAGTCTATCGAATGTGGTTGAGCTCAGCTCACAACTTTATTACTGTTTTTTCCCCCTCTTCCCTTATCGGTGACCAACATGGTCACCAGCCAGACCACATGCCTGCTCTTGTATTCCCCTTGAGTCTCAGTCTTGGAAGGGGGTTTGCTCTAAAGGGTCCTGACCACTTGCCTTGATGGCTCCCGGGCAAACAGCTTACTTGTTCTTGTAGTAATCTATCAGACTGCCATTATTATTTTGGATTTTTCCTGCCGGTCTTGCTTTCACGTAGTATCTTCTGTTCCTCTAGCTGCTCCAGGCTGTTCACTCTTCCTTTCCAGTGGAAATTTCCTACCTCAGTCAGTTCTGGATGGGGTTCTGGATTCCACCTGTGGTCTTAAGAGTGCAGTGTAAAGGCTCCATAGGAAGCCTCTTTCACTGGGCAACTTTTAGCCCCCTTTAAGGTATTCCAATCAGTTATAGGCTGAAGAGTAACTTCAAGCTTTCTGTAGTGATGATTCTGGCTATACCTTTCTCCCCACCTCAAGTGTCTGTTTTACAAGAGCCCTGTTGCTCCAAGGTTGTGCATACACCATCATTTACCTCTGTCCCACTTAGCCCAGCGAACCTGCCTAACTGTTCTCCCATCAGCCTAGTTCTTCCATTCCCCTCCAGCTTCTTGTTTATTGCACCGCCCCCACTCCCTCCCCTGCCCCCTAGCTATCCTGTTTCTATTCCTTACCCTGTGCTCAATTTTTCCCTCCCTCCCCTCATCTCATCCATACATCCTGGTGATCAGCAAATATATATATGTATGTAATATTTCCCCATTTTTAGTGTGGGTTTTTTCCTTACTCTTTGACAATAATGGTCCTATGCAGTATTTCTCCTTTTGTGATTAAATAATTTCACTCAGTATAATGTCCTCAAGGTTCATCCATGTTATACAGTGGCTTACAGCTTCCTTGTTCTGCAAGGAGGCTTAGTATTCCATTGTGTGTATGTACCAAAGTTTGTTTATCCATTCTTCTATTGATGGGCACTTAGGCTGTCTCCATCTTTTTAGTATTGTAAATAGTGCTTCTATGAACATTGGTGTGCA